CTTGTTCGCTCCTCCTGTATCTGCCGTTGGTGGCTCTGGAGCTTTTCGCGCTCACTGGGCATAACAATGTCGAAGAGGGAGCGGCCTCTGACGCTGGGAATTCCGACGGCATCGGCAAACGACGGCGAAGCACGCGCAATTTCCAGCTCTGTCGTCAAGAAGATGACTGGCTCAGGCGCACCGGAGGCGATAGACGGGGGCTGGCTGTATAGGTTCGCCTCGCCCATGGGAGCTCTGTCCAGATACCGAGGCGCAATGGGTTCGCTTGGTTGAGACTTTAGAACGCGATAGGAGTGACTGCCTCGGATGGGGTCATCGTACCCTGAGATGGGAGTGCCAGCTGAGTAGTGGCTCAGCGGCGGTCTCCTTGCTGCCGCGGCGGCGGCTGCGGCATCCTGGGGATGCTGATATGTCGAGGGGCCATAGCGGGCTTCTCGATCGTCTCTCAGCCGTGGGCGGCCACGCTTCTTGTGTTGCACGTCAACGCAGGCGTCTTCCTTGCCGTTGCTTGTGCATCTCGAACAGGGCCGTTGAGCTATTTGTCGCAAAGAGCACGTCAGCGAAATTGTCATCCGGTTGTAGTGTTCCCTCTCTCCACACACTACAAGGAGAAAAAGAAAACACGCAAGCGCACGATCCAAAGTTGTCTGTTGCAAGTGCAAAAGCGACGCCTCCACCACCACCTGTTAAGCAAGAAAGCTTACATGACGTCTTCCAACGGGCACTTGCTCGTAAGTCGCGTGGCTTAGACATTTGGTTGCTTTTCCCACCCCATCCGCCCCCAGCTGCCATGCGTCGCATCCGACACGTCAATGACACGCTAGTTCTGTCCACTTGGATCATCCCGCGACCAGACCAGACGGAGCAGCGATCGACCAGCCAAGTCCATCCAGAAAAGCTCTCGCGCAAGGGAAAAATGGCCTCCGCTTTCTGTTTCAGACATGGCACATTCGATAGCAACCACACCCGGTACAACGACACGCGATTGGCGAGTTCACCGCATCCCTAACCGTAATCAAGATTCGAGGGTCGCTCCCGGGGGTGCCGGCTGTTACCCGCCAATCTTCCCAAAATGCCGGGCCGACACTCCGGAGCGAACGGGCCCAGGAACCAGACGGCGCCAGAACGGTAGCGGTTGGTCGATCGTTTGGTTGTGAGAATGAGAGAAGCTGGAGGAACTGAGATGCGGCGCGGAAGTCCGGCCAAGGAAGACCGGTTCTCTCTGATAGGATTGACGCCAGTCCTGTTGGGCTCACGGACACCCGCTCAGCCCAAGTAAGACTTGGTTGACAGCCTTTGACGACATGCGCCATCCCATTCAACGCAATCATCTCAACTCTCCGTCCGAGTTTCTGCGAATGATCCTCCCAGGCGGGATCGTCTTCCCCTCAGCATCGGTCTCAGGTCAAGGGGTTGATCCCTGCGCTGCTTCGAGTGTCGCACGCACGCACGCCTTGCTAGGTTAATGCTGCGTCCAGATTCACTCTTGTAGCGTGATGATGTCAAGTGTTATTCCCCCAAAGATTTGGAGCCGCATGCGCCCGGAGGCTGCAGTGCTGGTTCCTTGCAGTCCGCGGGAGTTTCCTCTTTTGGTCAATCCCCCAGTCGAAAGCACAATGCAGAAATGACAACGCAAAGAAAACGCAAAACGAAAAAAAATCAAAATTAGGCTAGCTAGCTAGCAAGCCAGTCGTACGTACCGTCGCATCTAAACCAAATGTCAGCGTCACCGTATCGAGATACCACAGCCCGTTTCACTTGGGATATCTGCGGGGAGAGTGGTAACCTACCGAAGATGGGCTCGTTTACATGGCACACAGGCTGATGCCACATGGCCCTTTGTCTTTCTTTGCGTCTTGGGAGACGTATAGGGACCACTGTCCTGGGATGTCTGCGACATGGTCGTCGCATAGCCATGCTGATGGGGTCCTGCTGGTTGTGGCGGCGGTGGACCGGACATTTGCATGTAGGGCGGAGGAGGCCGCTGCTGCATGACTTGGCTTGCCACAGGTGCGTATCCTGAAGCCGTAGTCCGCAGGTGGTCGTCGGGTCGAGGGTATGAGTAAGGCATTCTGTCATGTGGATCGGCGTAATATGATCGGGGCTGGGGCGGCGGCAGGGAATGCGGCGGAGGCGGAGGTCCTCGGTAGTCGCCTTGCGGTATCGTCGTTGGCGGCAGTCCTCCCCTGTAGGCATTTTGCGGGCTGGTAGACGGATAGCTGCCATGCAGTTGCCCTCGGTCACCAGCCTCTGGATTTGGCTTGGGCGGAAGAGGAGGAGACCCTGACATGGGCGGGGAAGGATATGCTCTGGGTCGAGCAGGAGTCTCGGACTCTGCTCTTGTTGGCGTTGCCCAGGTCAGGTCGAGGGCGAATCGCGCCAGATCGGAGATGCCTCGGCGCTGGCCGAACGAGGTAGACGACGTATCGCAATCGCTACTTATGGCTTGCATGGATGTTCTGATGCAGCTGCACTGGTCACCTGGGTCGAGAACTCCCCACGTCTTCGTTTAGACGACGCCTCGTTTCCCAGAATGTTGCGAGATGCCGGAACTATCGCGTAGACGCTGTCGGTGCGTCGTATGCGGTTGTCGATATTCTGAAGCTGGCCGTGTCGCTCTTGCGTGCTCCAGGTCCAAATTGAATACTCCTTCTTGTCTCAAAGACTGTCGACGTTTGTGGCTCCTTTCGAAAGATGCCTGTTCCTCTTGGTCGGATCAGTTGAATTCCTTCTCTTGTCCACACAGTCTCAAAACACCAGTCCCGGTGGGTAGAAGAAAGCTCTTTCGTGGTTCCCAGAGAAATACTCGATATGGCGAATAGCAAAAGTCTGAACCGGCGGGTATTTCAAAGACAAATGCAAGTTCGCGCGCCGTCTTTAAACACTCAACCGGGCGTTCGTGCTAAGTACGAGAGTCGCAAGAGAAGACCGGTTCAGCTGTGCCAGGAAAGCAGACCAGGAATGAGAAGATGTAGCGTCCGATGCTGTAAGACGATGAGGCTGCTGTAGCAGGACGCTCGCACAATGATACTCCAAGCTCCAATGAAGCCCCTTGCGGCGATGCTGGCGGGTCGTCGAGCGCGATGCTGATGCGGGCAGTTGCAGGAGGTACCGCGACAGAACCTCAGGCACGGGGTGCGGAGATGGATGGCTGGATACCTGCGTACCGGTGACCTGTCTCTGGGTACGGATGTATAAGTGATGGAATAAGAGGAAGAGAAGGGTAGAAGTAGAGGAAAGGGAGGAAGACGATGTAGATCTAGTCTACCCCTAGCCTCTTTTTGTCTCTCCGATTCTCTCTCCTCTCGGCGGCCGGAATAAAGAAGCGTTATTTCTCGAGGGCTGGATACGTTGGAGAGAAGGACCCATAGGCTTTTTTTTTTTTTTGGGAGCAGTCGATCGGTGGCTCCCGGTCGGTTTTTGTGTGACTGGAGGCAGGCTTGCTAGACCTACGAGGGGAGGGGGGCAATTGAGATGAAGCTAGGGTGTGGTTCAGGGTTGATCTGGTCGAGGGAAAAGGTAGGCCAGGGAACACCCTGGTCAACGTCTTTAGAGTGGCTGCTAATCAAGGGTAGAGGGCTATGCCATCACGATCCCCTGTTCAACGACAATTCTCCGCGCGTCTGTGTGAGAGAGGTGTGTGTGAGCGTGTGCAGATTGGGATGAGGTAAGGTCAATGCTTTCTGCGACGTATCCGTCTTGAGTGTGAGGGGACGGGAAGGGGGCGTGTGGCAGAGAAAGGACAGAGTGAGAGAGTGTGTGAGAGGGAGTAAGTATGTGGGTGAAAGAGAGAGAAAGAGATAGATAGATAGAGGAAAGAAAAACCATCAACTGGTAGCAATGCCAGCCGTGGGCAGCAAAAACAGAAAATCAGTAACTTGAAGCAGTCAGTAAGGTGGCTAGGGAGGAGATGAGAATATTATTTGACGGTAGCGATGGCGATAGTAGCGCTAGGTCTGAGGGTTCCCGGATGAGATTAAACCAGGCACGTATGAAGCCACAACGTAATAAGACAGTGGGGGAGACAAGAGTCAGTTGGGCCACAGTCCAGTGAAGGGTGAGTGAAGGAAGATGCAGACACGGGACGGGACCGTGGACGCGGCCAAGGCCAGAGAAAGCTAGCAGGACTACCCGTAGAGAGAGAGAGAGAGAGGGGACGGAGAAATAAGATGCAATAATAATTTACGGTGAAATCAAAAGGGCCTCATTGCGTCTGCAGGCTCTCCCTCACTGTGTCTCTCCCCTACCACAGTTTTCACTTTTGCAAGTTAGCAGTGACGGCCAGTATGCAGCGTGCAAAGTACCAAATTTGATTGGGGATGCGAAGGAGGGATGGTTCAGGTGGGAGTGGACAGGGAGGGGTGGACGTTGTCTCGAATGTCGGAGCCGGTAGCAGGTGGCAGATGGCAGATGGCAGGATGGGTATGTACAATGTAGCCGGGAGCCAGGAAGGAGGAAAAGAAGACTGACTGGTGGATGCGGATGGGGGATGGATGGGATGGGATGAATTTCGTACAAGGATAAGATGGGATGGATGGGTGGAGGGTACGGATACCTAGGCGAGCATGTAGTGTATGTAGTTCGTAGATGGAGGGGGAGGAGACAGACCAACACCCGGGGGTGACTCTCCAAGTCAAGGTATACCTACTTCGTTCACTAGAAGAGGTAGAGAGACCAAGCCAGGATGAAGACAGGCAGCGGGAGAGAGTGGAGGAACTGTAAGATTGACTTGATATCGATGGGTATTGAAGAGCGAGGTTGGGGGAGTGTGGAAGCGGCAGAGAGTGGGGAAAAGACAACGTTGAATCTGCGAAAGAGAAGAAGCAGAGTAATGAGCCGGAAGAGTGAGCGTCGGTCCGTACAGATACACATTCGGTAATGTAGACGATGGAATGGATGATCGATCTTCCTGTGCTAATTAACTTTGATCTCTCGAGTACCTTGCAGATAGAAGAAGTGTAGCTGTGGCTAACCCAGGCACGCACGTCAGGACAAAGAACATGGTCAACATGTTGACAGACCATGTGGCCGTGTGTGCTATGGCTCGTTCGGAGAGGTAAGGCAGGACGAGACGAGACCTTTCGAGCCAGGTATATCAAAGTACGTACTGACGGAACGCATGGCAACGCTCGAGCCAACGTTGTAATCGCTGCACATAGGTTTGCGGCGGTGGCTGCTGATGCTCGTGGTTATGATGCCGGTGGTGGTGGTGTCGGTAGCCCAGGGTCCAGGGGGTAATGTAGCGGTAGGTAGGTAGTTAGGTAGGGGGAGAGACAGATGAGCGAACGTGGGTGCGTGGAACTGGGCCACGGGGTTAGGGACATGGGGGGAGGGGAGGGTGTGAATGCAGCAATGTAGACGGGGTCGAAAGAAGGTTGTGGGATATGTGGAGAGGCGAGCGGAGGGATCGACCTGCGAGCGCAACAGAGAGATGAGATGACGGGTCTGAGATGGTGGCATTGAATGGAAAAAAGACGTACACGTAGCCGCGCACGACGGGGTAGCCGTTGGAAAACAAACCATGATAGGGTTGTATGTAAGAGGTTGAATGTTCACCAGATGTTGCAACTTGCGAGGCCACTGGGGATGGAGGAGACTGGAGACCCAAGAGAGAAAGGAAGTATCCGTATCCGTAACCAGGCCTTGAATGGCGAGGTAAGGGAACCTGCCATCCCATCCTCGTCAGCTACTACCCTTGGATACCTTACCATTGTCATGGGGCAAGGACCACGGTATCCGTACGTGAGGTGCCGCCTTCGGAGACCGCTGTAAGGCAAGGTATGTCGGACGACGGGTAGGAAGGCAACTTACTGTGGTATTTGAACGGAGTACCAAGGAATAGCGTACGAATATTGGTAGGTACGTGAAGGAAGGCAAGGATACCGAACATGCTCATGCTGGAGCTTGAGGGACGGAATGCGGCTATGGCAGCGTGGCAGCGGAAGGAGAAAAGGTGGCAGGGCGTCTTCTGGTCCCCTCCATCTTCTCCACGTTCGTTCTCTCCGAGCTTGGCTTGCCCTGGTCCCATTTCCTTTGTGAGTCGTTCTTGTGGTCCTGTAGTCCTATGGTCCTGTGGTCCTGTCCCGTCCTGCCATGCCCTGTCCTGTGCTGTGCCGTCCGATGTATTGTCCGTCCGCGTCCGAGCCCTGGCCTGTCATCATCCTTGAGCGGCTCGAGGCACGTCCGTCCTCCTGCGTGTCTGTCTCGGATGGTCCTCTGAGTTGTCGATACGATGAGAGACATGATTAAGGTGTCCGTGGACTGGGCAGGGAGGATGTCTTACAGTCTTAGCGGCCACTAGGTGGCACCTCACCAAAGACACACGGCACGTTGCGCCCTAGCGCTGCGCCAGCGAAACGGAGGCGGATGTATGTACTGCGTGCCCAGGCTGTGGGTGCGGGTGTGGGTGCGGGTGCGGATGCGGGTGTCGATACCTAGGTAGCTAAAGTACGGGTAGCTCAACGAGCACATCAATACGTTAGCTAGGCCGAGGCCTGTCCTCGGTGTGAACGATCTCTGATGTCCTGGCGAGATACTAAATTGCAACTGCACACAAGCTCAGCTAGGTCGGCATCAGGGTAGGATCTGTGCCTCGCCTCATTTCGGGCTCTCCACACAGCAAAGCCCATGAATACACGGTACACTGTGGCGTAGATGCAGTGTCGTCCGTCTCCGGCGGACATTTGATGGGTGCTCGTTCAATTTTGCCGCAAACCATGGCTTCGCAGATTCGCCAAAGTATCCAACTCGGCAACTCTGCGGATACGGAGGCTCTCCCAACGAAGAAGTCGCAGTTGTACCAATTCATCGGGGGTCAGAGTCTTGTCTAGACTACAAAATCCCGTCGCATTCGTGTTGCTCAGTCGGCCGGGAAAGAAAAGGTATCAGCAACGCGTCCGTAGGGACGTCGTCTAGGAACCTCGAGGCTCGAGAAAAATAATCGCCATGTCCGATTCTCTCTTTCAGCCGCCTTCCATGGGTAGTCCTTCTTCAGCGTGGCCGTTCTCCAAATGAAACTCTACCTGCCCCAGGGTACCCATCCTGTGGCTGACGGCCATGCCGGCCGGGCAGGGCGAGCTGACTTTGACGGGGGCAGAAGGCTGAGATGGGAATGCAACTGGAGAATGAGAATGAGAATGAGATGGAGCTAGAAGCCACATCGTGATACCTAGTCACCTAGCTTATAGGCAAGCCGGGTTAAAGGGTCTTCAAAAGGTTGAGGGTCAACGCTGCTAGTGGAAGGGTGGACAAGACGTTGTTGACATGGACCAGGTGTATTCGTAGATGGACGGCTGTGAGCGAGGAACCTTGAAGAGCCAGCTGTCACCGTTACTCTCCACCAACCATCCACCTTGGGCTTGGGCTCCTAGCTCCTAGTTCCTAGCTCGCCGATTGACGTGCGGCCGTGAGCAGTGCGCGGGCGCGAGAGAACGAGAGAAAGAGAGAGAGAGACAGAGACAGAGAGAACTTGCCTGGCCGTGGCCGTGGCCAGAAGCAGGGTCGTGCGCAGGTGAGGAGGAAATGACTTGTGGACAACAGTCTGCAGACATCCTGGATCGGGTGGCATGGTTGGATAGATCCGGCCACGATCCATCGAAAAAGAAAGCTGGGCCATTTGGTGACAGTGGAGGGTTGACCGCGGAATTTCCACGCCTTAGTAACCTAAGTTACTCATTCGTACTGAGTAACAAGCAGGACAGCATGGCAACCTTGAGCCAACTGTTTTTCTTGTTCTTGTTAGGGCGCAGGTACATTAGGTATTTGTAACGTTGATATGCCTTCACTTTGTTCATGAGAGGAAGACACCTGGTCTGGTCAAGAGCGAAAGAAATACCTATGAGTATCTGTATTCTCAAAATTGATCGCTGTCTCGCGAGTTGCATCGGCAGACGCACAATTCTTCTAGCATCGTCTTCTGAGTGCTAGGCGAATATATTCGTGAAACCTTTCTCTTCACTATATTAATCTCCATTGTCTACACTAGAGCCTGTGGAAGGAGGGAGGCGTGGTCACTCACCGGCTGGGGGTGACGAAGCTCAAACCGAAGCAAAATTGCTGTGCAGCGGAGAAGGCCAGACGTCACCTGCTGGCTGCCGCCCAGGGGGGACAGGGAGGCGCAAGTAGATATGACTTGATTCAGCTGCGACTCGAGTATTTTCAGAGAAGTCCCGACTACTTTGTCGGAATGGTGTCTGAGTGTGGGTCACATCAGGTCATCTCCAGTTTCCGTCCGAACTTGGTGGCAGGGATGTCAGGGAGCAGGTACGGATGCAGATGCAGATACAGCAGGCCCAGGAGCAGAATCAGACTCAGACCGAGCTACATGGCTTCATCTCGTACAGACATCTGACAGACAGATATCATGTATCCGTATCCGTAGGTATAGACTGGTCAACTCGATCCACCGTACCCCAAGTATGGACACATACTCTCTCTCCATCTCCCTTGCTTATCCGTCGTTGACATCGCCGTTGACATCGCCGAAACCCACCAGCAGCAAGCAGCATGGGGACCATGAACTCAGTCTGCAAGAGAGGCGGTAAGCCGAGGGAGGCCAGCCATCTGTCGGTGGTGACTGGTGCACGCCTTGGTACTCTCGGAGCTAGAGGCGGTTGCTTCCACCGCGCCGTGTTGCATAACTACGCAGCGGCCCCATCCTCTAATACGACTCGTTGGTTTGGGAGCCACTGTATTGGTATGATGCCCACGGCAGTGTGGTTCTTTTGCTTGATGTCCCTAGGCTTGACGAGGTCGAGGAATCCGTACACTGTCAGCACGAGCACGAGCCGTTTTGCATGCGTTACCGGTCCGAACAAGGTCGTGCCTTTCAGACCTGTTGCTGGCCCTCTGCTCATCCATTCATCCACATATTCGTGTGCGCTCTTCGCTTCGGCAAGGAGATCATTCTGATGGGTGCCAGGTACGATATATCAACCGGGCCAAGGTCGCAACGGTCAACTACCAGGCCTGTCCTGGTATGTGCGCTGTCCGCCCGGTCCTCGCCAAAATCACCCTCGCCGCCACCGCCTCCCCTACTACTCAGAAGTCAGAAGCCTGGCACCCTTACCCTGCCTTAGTACGGCACCGGGGCTGGGGGCTTGGAGTTCACTAAGGCAGGTCGCTCGAGATGGAAACCTCCGAAAGAACAACTCGCCGTGACGAATCCCCCGCTGCCCAACCCAATAATCGTAAACCATGGTCAAGTCGCCGTCGAGTAGGTACTCCAAGATGTCTCGCACTCGGTGGACGGGTAATGGTGCTTGTCGGTCATTGCTCGCCACGTGAGAAGGGATGTGTTTGATACTCCTTACTGCGTATGGAGTACAAAAGTAGGTATTGTGAGTAAGTCGCCAGGTCTGCACATGGTCCACTGACCAATCGAGGCGTGCACTTCATCGGTATCACTTTTTGTCACCTACCTCTTGCATCGCATCCGCAGCGAAGACCTGCCTAATAGATCCATCGTCTGCATCTCGTCCGACATGCGTCGTGACTACAGATGCACACAGTAGGCCATGAAAATGTCGCTTCGGTATGCCTTTGTCAAGATGGCAATGAAGCACGCAGAGAGGAAGGGTAAATCCGCGGCATCCCTGTGTGGTTCTGATACCACTCGATACCAGCAACTTGATGCTAGATGTCGGATATGCGATTCCAATCTCGAGTCCACAGTAGCGTAGCCAAGTCGATACCATGGCCCTGGCTTGATGCCAATGCCATTCGCCATTGAACTTGATTGTTTTCACCCAGGAATCGTGCGGCGCCCCACGCTATGCGGAATGAGCCCAATTCGGGTTGGCAATTTTTTTGCCTGGGAAAGGCAAACCCCAGAGGCGGCGCTAAAGCCGTAGCAAAAGGGCCGGTCAACGTCGAGACCACACCACCAGGAAGCAGTGCATCGTCAGAGGTGCTCTACTGCCGCCGCCGCGTTCGCGCTATTCTGCATCATTGGCACTCGCGGTGGCCCAAGTCATTGCTCCTGGAGTCCTGTTCAACGAGAGCGGGCGAGCTGACCGTACCGCACATGAGGTAGCGTCGGTTCGTTCGTAGCGTGAACGGTCCCAGCTATGTCTGAGTGTGTGTTTTCTGTCAACGTCAAGCCAGTGCCGCTAGCCAGGGAATCGACATGTTAGTTCTTCGATTTCTTCTGGGCCCGGCAAACCCCCTCTAAAAAGGAATGGTAAATTGCCCGCAAATGCTCATGTCGGCCTAAGTGGATGTGGGTGTCGTCCCTCATACATCTCGTCCCCATCTCCCCTCGCTCGCAGGGCCAGGGCAACCTGCGAAGTTCAGGTGGCCTTGCCACGAATCTTCTCGTGCCTTTTCCTTGCCTTGCGCCCTGTCTTGCGGCCTGTCATGTTCTGGAACTTGCCCACTTGCCCGACGCGGCTCGCCCTTCACCTCAAGGCCGCCTTGCTGATTGGCAGCCGCCGACAGACAGCAATCGGAGTCGATACCAACAAGTGGTCTCGCCTTGTTTGCTAGTCGTGATTGTCCTGCCACTCCTGCCTGCCTCGGTGCAGCTTTCGGTTATGTGCGGAGACAAGATAACTTCGCCTCTCCACATGGCAATCCAAGTTTTGACCTGTGACATGGCCACTTGGTCTCTAGAAGGATTGATAGCCGATAGTCGAGGTTGCCGGATCCGTGCCCAACGGCCAGAGGCTAGGCAGTCGAAAGTGCCGGCATCGCGGAAGCATTGCAATGGGGACAGCCCGTCTAAGGTTTCTTGTCCGCATAGCACCCGAGCTGCAAAATTCCAGCACAACAACTCTGAAGCGAGTTGGGGAATTGCTTGCAGGGGTGTGGGAGCTGAGTACCGATTCCCACTACTCATGCGGGAAAACCTCAACACCACTTGGGGGCGAGACGAAGCGTCCCATACATCGGTCGTATGCAGGTTGTTCGCGTCATGCTTCCTCATGTCCTCCCGTTCGCCCAGTCCTCTTGGCAATTATTGGGTCAATGCGCTCCATCCGACATATCTTTCACAACCATCTGCGTGGGTGCCCAGGAATCGATGAAGTCAGGCATCTGTGAGCCCAGCGAACCCTCAGATCAGCAGCCTTCTCAGAGACGTGCGACGCGATGGCTCCGTCGCTACTTTTGCTGAGCAGCCGCTGCTAGTATCCTTCTTCGATTTCTGGCCTACCTGGGGTTGTCGCGAAAAAATTCCACCAACGAGATGCGAGCTTGCTTCTCGCACAAGGCCCAACCCTCGGCCTGTTTCGGACGTGTTGGTGTAACAGTGCCATCCCGAATAGGGACCCTGGCACATGGACACTACTCCGTAGAATGAATGGCCGTTGAGCTTTCTACAGAGTATCCGTAGACAACACATGATAAAACACAGCTTGCGGGCCTTGATCGCAACATACGTCTCTGGGGCCACACTCTGCAGACAAATTTGATTCGTACTGCTGGCAAGTCTTCCCGCCATTGTTCCTCTATACCGGCGCGTTGCATCCTGTAAGGCTCGGTCAGTGACGGCATGATCAACTTCACTGCCTCGCGACTCCCTTGTCCACGTTTGGGAAACCTTGTGGACGTCGTTCTGGCTGTGTGAAGGATCGGTCTATTTCTTCCACGAGACACAGGATAGTTTGTTCGGGTTCGCACAGTGTGCTTTTGTCTGCTTTCCCCGTTCATTCATCTGAAGGTGTCTAATTGCTTCTCTCGTTGCCCATGTGGTTGTCGTCATCATCACAACCTTCCCTTGGTATATATTCGTAATACAGGAGCCCTCAGTGTCGGCAAGGCGCACCTGTGCCGAACAATTAGAAATCTGGTCTTCCGGTGAGACGAGGTCCATGCAGTCGAACAAGATTGGCTTCAGTCGAAAAACGAAGGTTGTCGGCCAGGAACCCATGCGCCCCGACAGGTAGCCTGCCTCTACGTATACGCAGAACGCCGCCAGCCAGATCAATATGGAGTCGGCGAGGTCACGCACTATCGGGTTGAATCTTTTCAGTGGGCGGCTGAGCCAAATTGAAAGGTGTATCAAGTCGATATGAATTCATACCAGAAGGTGCCCGTAACGGATTCAGGACATTTACTCTCACCACAGTAAGTCTCTGGTATGCTTGAATATGGACGAACCTCCTCTTCCTCCTCCTCATCCCTCGATGAGATATTCTAGCACAGGGAATTTGGACGTCTGGATCCGACCTTGGTGCTTACCGAACTTCACTTGGGGCAAGGTAGGAATGCCGATCTGTAGGGCGCTCGGCTGCCATCTGCGTCCCGTTGTCAACGCAGGCGCTAGGTTGGCCCTGGTCGGTCGGCTGCCACACACGCCGCAGGTGGTCTATTCCATCCTGACCCCGGTCTGTATGCCTCCATGGGTTTAAGGTCCCCTTCTTCGTCTGATGATCCAGTCGGAAGCCCTGGTCGTGCCAAGGCGCGCCTGGATCATCGAGGTTGGTCGTTTAAAGCTCGAAGTCGATGGCCGGGAAACTATCCGTACTTGTGAGGCGGCACCAGCCGGAATCCGGAAGAACAAAGGCATTGATTTTACGGGCCGGCAAGCTTACTATAGCTATCCGTACGACCAGACCGTCCATGGCGGTGAAGAAACACCAACGTAAATTAAGGTTGGCGAATACGTTAGATGGTGACGCTCCTCCTTGAGATGCTTCGGACTTGAGGGCGATGATCCAAGTTCCCGTGGTGTGTGGTTGATCATCTGCATCTCCTTCATCTCTTCCGACTCAAGGTCCAGAGCTGTCCCCGGGGATCAAGCTGTATCCGCAGCGCTGCACAGTCGCACGGCCCAGTGGACGTCATGTGGTAGCTGGCGCCAGCGGACTTGGTCCAGTTTTATCCACGTTACAGACGCTCCAGGAGACCGGGTATGACGATGGATACGGCTTTCAGCGTTGCAGCCACTACTCTTGCGCGCTGTGTGTCTCCCGAGAGATTGGCGCTTCCATATCAATAGGAGATCGAATGTTGAGCTTCGGACCATTGAAGAATATTGATAAAAGGCGTCGTGGCTCTTTTCGAGACTGACCCGCTTTCGAGGGCGACTCGCGGCTGTGTCATGTTCAAGCCGAGGTGTGTCTCAGCAAGTATCCCGCGACACTGGACGGCTGTCACAGCGAAGATCCAATGCTTACTGTCAATGCGAGCAGGACCTTATTATTTCGGTGGCCTGGTCCATATGTCGTCCGAACTTCAGACGCTGGGAAGCTTTTCCAGAGCCACGGGATTCTATTTCCAGTTCGTACCGGAGGACGTCCCTTGTCTGGTTCTGGCTATTCTTCCTCCACGCGTTCCGTGCTCTCCGTGGTTCTTCGTCCACAATCGTAAATGCCCATTGTGGGTTGGTTTTCAAATCATCGGCTGGCCCGCGGTAGGCATACTGTCGTGACTGTGTAGATGTGAGCAGTCATGTCAGGCGCCGAGCCTGTATTGGGGGCTTTTGGCACGTGGCATGCCATGGCGATTGTCGCCACTGGCCAGCAATACGGAGTATACTGCGTAGAGTCACGAATTGAAGTTGGTGTGCAGGCCGAATGGTGAGCTGTGGACATCTTGCCCGTTGTGTGTGACAGCGTGCTACAGTACCGTCCGGGAAAGGCGGTGGCTCCTACACAGCAGGTAGAGTAAGCAGTTTCAATGGGTATCAGTGGATTCCTATTCCACTCGGATTCTGGCAACTAGGCCAGGGCTGCCAGGGCACACCCCTCCGCCATGCTTGGGCCTGACATGGTGGAGGATTTGGCAAGCCTGGGTAGGCCAGGCCAGTCCCTGGCTTGTCCGTCAAGCAACGGGCGGGCTGTCCAGGACTCCAGACGTGATTCGTTGCGACGTTGTTGAAGAAGAAGCTGCAGAAAATCCCGGGTGGCCAGCAGGCCGTCTGCCATGGCTCAAGTTGCTTGATTAAATTGGGTTAATATAACTCAGGGGATAGCCGACTTTGCGAGTCTGCATTGGGGTGGTGAACTGCAGGTGTTGGTCTCAATTATGCTCGTGAGGAAGAGGGACTGAGTCAAAATCCCGACGGCGATGAAGAGGCAGAAGCTGGTCGGGCGGGTACGATGCAATGCAGTGCGGGAACAGAAACGCAAAGAAGTCAGATGCTCCGAAGCCGAGAAGGTATCCATCCTCCCTGGATGCTTGATTTTGCTTCCGCTCCGGAGAGTTTTCACCCCCCTCTCTTTGTGTTTTGACTCTTCTTCTTCTTTTTCTCCTCTATTCAGAGCAGCCCATGTCGCAGTACAACATGCATCGAGGGCTCATGTTGAAGTACAAGGCCGGAAGTGCCGCCAGTGCCCACAGCGGTCCAGGACCAGGTTAATAATTTATCGATAATGGAGACGATGTGCGGCGACGGCCGAAGACTTTTGAATTGCTGGAGAGTCGAAACAGATTATGACAGGGAATTGTACAGAAGGTTGGCCAAAGAACGCCCTGGTCACAGCGCGATCCCTCGCGACTCTGATAATACTTTGTGTGTGCATTGTGGTCGGACACGGGCGGTAGGATGGAATTTGAATCGAGAGATTAGGACAATAAGAGCGGCCGTCGACTTGGAGTGGCGATTGTGCTTGGCAGGCTGTAGGATTCTTGTTTGTGGACAAGTCTAGACCAAGGGCAACTTGCAAGAAATGGCGGTTGCTCTGTTGTGCCAAGGAACCCATGGAGGGAGGAAGGGGACGATGCAGGCGTCTCTGGCTATGGACTATTGGTACTCTTCGTACGGGAACGGGTACGGTCTTGGAGGTTGATTATGGAAGTGGGCGTGTCAGAGTGAGTGGGCTGACGGTTGATGACTTTTGACGATTTGATCATGTTGGGCCCAGTTTGCTTCGGTGAGAGTGGCGGGGTTGCTAACAAGCATGGATCTGCGCCGAGGAACACCCTTCACGAGGTCGGAAGAACCAAGCGGCAATCCAGAAGGCAATGAAGAATGTCGGTGGGAATTGGGAGATGGGAAATGACATGGGATGGCGATGGCAATGGCAGGCCGCAGAACGATGGCAGAATGATGATGGATCGGGCCAAGAAAGGGCTGGACGATGGATGCCGGTGAGCATTCAGCAGCCAGGTAGGTACGATGCAATGTTGGCTAGAACATCCGAATGGAGAAGGAGCACATATTGAGCCGTGTTGCCGCGCCTGCCTCACCTGAGGACGCCCACCTTCCCGTAATGCCCTGTCATTGACCTGCTCGAATCTCAACAACGGAAAGTACGTGCTTCTACCTTCCAACCTACCTACCGTGCCTGCCTGCCTTGACCAACGGGCCCAGTGAGGCAGGACAGATCAAGTCTTCCCATTTCTTCGGCAAGACGACCACCTCACTTTCATCTGTGAGACAAAAGATTAGGTAAGACAAGGAAGGTACCTGGGAATCTGGCTTGTCTGGGTTAGGTAGGCACTTTCCCATGTCTTAGCTTCCCGTCGGTTTGGTGGATGAGCGCGGGGCTGCTCGGATGCGGCAAGCCAACCTACCTTAGAAGGTACCTTCCCCAGTGCCGTAACGGCGCTCCTGCCAGACTGCGTGACCCCATCTTAGATACATTAGTCTTGCCCGTCAGTGGTCTCTCAACTTGAGGAAGGTAGGCAGGCACGTAGGTACCTTACGTAGGTACCTTACTTAGCTAACGTAAGATCATGGAAGTCGCAACGACATCCGGAGGATTCCACGGTCGTTCGCGTGCTCAACGCTCAACTGGCGCATACCTTACCTCAGGTAGTTCCCAGCCGTCATCGACATCGACGACGAGAATTCGACCAGAAACGCATTCTCCATGACCAGGACTAGGCCTGTTCACACTTCGGTAGGTACGGAGTACGGTCACTAGTCAGCTAATTACCTCACTGATGAACCCTACCATGACCTCAACACCTGAAAAGAAGAAAGAAAGAAAAAAGAGAGAGCAGAAGAGCAACTCGGAACAACAAGAAATGGCCAGGTTCTCCCATTCGAACGTCGGACAATCCCAATCCAACTTAATGAAATGCTCCGAGAGAAACACCCCAGACCCGGTTTGATGCTGGCCATCTCGGACACAATTTGCGCTCCGACTGGGGTTCTGGGGCAAAGCCGCAAAACATCAAGGGAAAAAACTCCCCGGTGCATCTTTCCCGACACCTTGCTCATCCCTCGCTGATTGTCAGACTCATTCAGGCTCATTCATCGTTCAGCACTCAAGGACCAAGGCACCAAGTACTCCGTACATACAGATACCAGCCGCACATCGTCACTTTCTGTCGTCACGCCAAAGCCAGCTCGACCATGCTCCCCAACCACAAATCACCAACACCATAGACACCATCGAAACCAACCACTGCGGCCGCTTGCCCACATCTACCTACCTCAAAGACTCAAAGCTACTTTGCCAAGCCATGCTTCCGTAGCAGCCAGCAGTGCAGCAGCATTCGTCATGGAATTTCAGTCCCCTCTCCCAATGTTACTTGCCTTCAAAAATAACTTCCTCGCCGTATGGGCACAGGATACGGATACCTACTAGGGACTACGGTCCACAGATGCAGGTGCAAGCACCTCCCCGGCACTCTCACTGTGCCCGAACGAGCCCTACCAGGAACCTTGGGGTGCATTCATCTCGTCCAATTTCCAGTCGCTGCCGACAACGAGCTCTGAATCGTGCGCCAACGACCACGACCCCCAACTTTCTCCACCTCACCTGAATTCCTAACAAACCTCACCACTCGGCCGAGTACTGAATTATCTGCACGACGGGGGGTGGTCAGCCTGGCTCACTGCTCACATCCTGCAATCAATTAAACACCGCTGCCGCCTTTGCCTGCCTTGCTCTGCACCTGTCGACTCCTCCGAGGAAACCATCTTTCTACCACGCTCCAGCCTCCAATCACTTTGTCGTTGTACTCCCTACCCACGGTAGTACGGGTTACAAAGTGCCCAGGCGAACAGGGTTATCCGAGTCCGATAGTCCGATGGACCTTGGTCACCTCTAAGCTCGACCATTTTGTACAGCGGCTACGGATGAGTCCACCTCAACAAAGCTCACGCCCCCAGGTCTAACCTAGCCCTTGCGTGGGCAAGAAAGAGTACCCAGGTCTAGGTCTCGGCCCAGGCTCAAAGATTCCTGGCCCTGCCAATACAACGGGTACCCTGTCAGACTTGTCATCCCATCTTTTTTCTCCGGTACTCGATTTCCCCGACCCGCGGCACAACAAGTCGCAGCCTCTAACCGTCGTCGCCAAGCCCCTTGTCGGACTCGCCATCTAGAATCTGCCCTGGATCGTTTCCCCACCGCTCTCGCAGTCCGATGCCTCGCTCCAACCCCCCATGCGCAAGGAACCTCGAACGGCAGAGTCAACGTCAAGTCCACTCGACTCTTGCGCTTGTCTCCCTGGTATTAGCTATCGTGAACGAGAGTACCCCTCCGTACGTCAGCTCGTCAGTGGACTGAGCACCTTGCGGGGTATGCCTTGTTCCGGCAGAAGAGCTTCGTCGCGGATCGAGAAGGAACCCCTCGCGATGTCTTGCAGCATCCGTACGACTCTGGTACGAATACGGCTACATCTCCCTGACGTTGCACCTTTCGCAATTCCGGAAAACGCACTATCTGTCTATCCACCAATATCAAGATTCATCTTCGTCGGCTGCCAAGGGAGGGAGAGGCCCTGAACGGTTGTCTGAGAACTGGCAAAAACAGCGCTTTGATGAGGACGATGGGTTGAACTCAAGGCGAGACTCAAACCCACCAGACGGGTTGACCAGTCTCGAGGCACCCAAACCATCAACTTTTCAGACGAACCAGTCGCCTCTATTCATGCAATATTCCCTCCGATCTGACCGACCTTATTACCCCACCTGGAGATAGCGCTGGATGAAACATCACAAGCGTCTATCGTCTCCAGACCAAGCCTATCAAGGCTTTCCTATCAATCTCTCTCTACACTCCACCAACATTCGGACTGCTCAAACGCACCAAATGTTGGCCACTGTCTCTCTCTCCGATGACCAAAAGGCGTGGAGGTGGTTTCTGCGACGACTGAAGTTGACGGTGCTCGAGACAAACGGCAACTTGAGTCGCAAACTTCAAACCAACTTGATGCAACAGGTCCGAAATGGCATCACCACCAGCAATTCTACTGTCTTGCAGATATCGTCTTTGAGGTTGACCGCCATTCACCCGAGTCAAGCATATGACCAGGGCTGTCGCCTTGTCAGATTTTGTTCCCCATCGTGACCTGCGTTTTTTTTTCCCACTCTTGTTTTGGCCTTTGTCTACTTCCCTTACCTAGGTACCCGTACGGATACCGCTCAGTTGAAACTTACTTCTTTGACCCATTGCAATACTGCTCGAACCTCACAGGAAGCAATGCACCGGAGTGGATAGGACCAATGCAGATAGAGGCGCGACGCTCACACGGGAAATATCTTCTACTTGTCACGGACCTCTCTGTGATCCCCCACAGCTAAGAGTCCATACCTGTGCACGCGATCAGGGAAAGCGTCATATGAGCAAGATTCATGCGCAGCCTTGACGCAGCCAGCCGGAGAATTTTTCGCGTCCCAGGCGCCGTCTGAACCTGGAAAACGATGAAATACCTGGCCATCCTATTATTCTGATCAGACGTTCCTAGCGCCACGGTTCTAGGGTGATGCTATTGCGGATGCCAGACTACGGAGTACCAGCAGCAATGGGCTGCTACACATGATCCGTATCCGTACAAGAGGAGTCTGGGATAGAGTCGACAATGGAACCTTCAAAGACTTGGTGGCGGTCGCTGTAACAGTGTCTGTTACGGTCTCGTTCACAAAAGGCTCAATAACAGGGTCCATGCAGCGACCCTGAGATGGCTGTATGACGGATACAGAAGCCAATACGACCGCACTTGCGGGCGACGCTGCCGAAAAGGGCCTTCGCCTAATCAGCTACCAGTACCGGCCAGCTGGGAATAGAGACAGGTTCACACACACTACGGTCCAGCTTGCCTGCCGTATCATCATGCAGATCGCCCGAAGGTGCCCCGCCGCCCCATTGTGAGCACCGAAGACGAGATGCACTAGTTCTGACAGAGACGCCAATGTCAGTTGCGAAATCACTAGGTATCCTTCCTGACGATACGGGACTCGGGAGCCCTCAAGAGCGCTAGTTATTACCTACCGATACTATGATTGGAGACTCGCAGTCCTCTAGGTATTCGTACTTACCCACTGGCAGGTGTGCCTACTCCGGAATACATGGGGTGAGCCTCATTTAGGTTTGTGGTGACATCCTTGTCATCTTGGTTGGCTGAGAAGATGGGACGAATTTAAAATTGAGCGACAAGGGATCACGTAGGGGAGCCTGGGGAGGTTGGTACCGAATGGCCCCGTGTCGCTACAGCCTACAGGGAGGTTTGGGCCGATCTTCATGCTTGCTGTCCTGCAGCGGAATCCTCAGACCCGGGCCCCTATATCTGATCTTACCCTGGTGATAATACTCAGGACTGTCTGCGGGAGGCGGTCAACTGACTTCTCAGGGAACGCAGGTTACATGATGGCTCATGTTCAAGATGGGTAAGCTCCAACGTACTACGAAAAGCTGCAAGGTCGAGTCTTTCAGCATGCGCGCAGGTGGCTGCAGTGCGATACTTCCTGAAGCTCCCAAGGACACGATATGCCCGATGTCAAGCTATTACTTCAAGCTTGCAGGCTCAAAGGTTGTGGTGTGCATTCGGAACGAGCCCCACGTCGTCATGGGTGCTCGGGGAGACCGTTAATTGCCTGCACTAAGGTCTATCCACGACGAACTCTCCGAAAACTTCAGATTGATGGACTCGTGGGGTTCGGACCAAAAGCGCGCTTATCAGACGCCAAAGCACCTCATCACTGTCACTTGATGTTGCATTGAAAGCGGTTGCGCCGAAATCCCAGGACTGCGGCCTGCCACGAACACCCGCATCGACAAAGTTTGCAACGGATAGGTCGCCTTGTTGAGACAAACAAGATGATAAGTCCTGCCCAGACCGAGCGAGAGACGAGGAATATCCATTTCGTCAACAACGGTGGGCAAAGCGCAACACGATGTTGGGATCCGGAGAGGAACATGACGCACATCCGACTTCACCAATGTCTAGACTGGGCTAGGGAGCCATTGCTTTGCAGACCACTATTTTTTTTTTCACGGTCATAATATCCATCCTCGGCCACGAACGGTTCGTCATTCCAATGTAGTTCCTATTCGTACGGGCCAGCATGACCATGGCTTGAATATTACTGGCGACTTGCAAGAGTCCTTCCCCTCTCTCAAACTCTGGACTGTTCGGTCCGTGATTATCATCCCGCGCGCGCATTGGCGGTGGGGATGTTACGAATGCCTGCGACGGCTCCACCGTCCTGACATGCGCATCTGAATTCTGATGAGCTGGCTATAATTACGGCCGGCCAAGGGACCAGCGGGAAGGAAAATATCGAGTCCTGCCAGACAGACATCAGACGAACCTTTAAACCCTTGTCTGACGCCGCAGATGCACCCGAGCCGCGTTGGATGTGCTTGCAGACGAGACTTACTCGGTGCCCCCCCCCCCCGGCTCTCAGAGTACCTGTACAACTGACAATAGCGCCCGTCCGCTGCAAGGGAAGCTCTCAAGTTCTTTTTGCACTTGGGCCTGAAGCTGTACGGAGTAGGTAGACATATACAACCCGGCTGGTTGGCATTGGCGCCCTGCTGCCATGCTTACCCCTCTTCAGGTTCATCCCATTCCCTGGCAGAACAAAATGACGCGACCCATTTGGTCAAGCAATCCCCTCATGATCGTTCGCAAGGTTACCACATCGGACCAAAATGGGGTAGTGGGCGGATTGCCAAAGGAGCTTGCGCTGCCACGGATATACGAAGAATCGTGGGTCTCGCGGCTGCACGGCAGTCGGAAACCTAGCTGCCAACATCTTGAAGCACCATCTGTCGCGAAGACGATTTCCCATACCGGGCGGTCAATGCGACGTAGACAAGCTATCGAGGCCAATTCATCACGCAAGACGTATTCACAGTAGTTTCTCTGAGACGAATGGACTGTCGAGGGCGTTCGGAACGACCCTGATCATTTCCTTGGATCCTCGCAATTGCAGTGATTCCGAGTCGGTCTGCGCTGAATTACGCCTTAGTTTACAAGGGTCTTGGTAACCGGAGATGCTGAGTGGAAGCCGGCTGGGCTCCGTGTTGATCTCATTGACAAACCCTGTCGGCGAACCGCATCGGACAAGATCTCAACTGAGCAATGATTTTGACGATTCGAGGCATTTTGGCAACGTGGCCACGGTGGCTAGATTCATCAGGTCATATTCATCTAGCATTGCTTGATACCCAACTGTGCCAACCAACGGCCTCTCCATCAAACCCACCACCCCAGGACCGATGAATTGGGAGGCAATCGTCGTCCAGCCTCGTGGCACCGGCGCCCGGCTTCGACGTCATCGCATCGGTCCCTGCCGACGAGGCTGATGGTTTGCACAATATGCCGACAAACTGACCTTGACTTGCTTCCAAGTAACCTTTGAACGTCATGGCCAAAGGCGATATCAAAGTTAGACAAAGTAGCGTACTCAGACGGAAAAAAGGTTCGATACCAAGAAGCAACCTGTTAATTTCTCGTTTCCACATGGCTCCGGTACTTTGATATAGTCGCCCCAAGATCTGCCGCCATCGTTCCTGTTAGTGTCCGAGCAGACGCGCAATGGCAGATGGCAGCGGACCTAGAGCCAAAGAACGACAATTCCTTGATCAGTAGAGTTGGGCTAGCCTGCTCGACTGGTCGTCAAAATTGCACACTTCAGCCACAGCGACAGACTTCCTACTAGCTCGAGCGGGTGGCGGAAACGATGGCAGAACTATTGAGCCGCCCGGCTGGTATATAAAAAAAATAAAAATAAAAAAGGCCCGGGTGCTGGTGCTGGTCTTGATGCCTCGTTCTTGTAAAAGTCCCGAGGGAGAGGACCGCCTTGATGGAGGGGATTCTAGCGTGCGATCTGAGCTAGATGACTCATTTCCCGGATTCCGTAGTCTTCGGAGAATAGTGAGCCGTGGAAGGGGGAGAATATTTTGTCATGAAAAATCCCGACTGCAACGGCGCGAGGCTGCTCCCGGCCGTCACCCGGACCCGTTGATTATCTTCAATAGTTCCGGACCTAGCGATGCGAACCCAGCTCGGGTGCACGACTGGCGTCTGCTGGTACGGGACCTCACGGCTTAAAGTCCAATGCACATACCCAATGCGCACTCTTTGAGGGCTGCGATGACGGCTGAGCTTATTCCATGCCTGTCGTTGAGCTAGTCGAACGCAAGACATGGTTTTAGCACCTTTAACATGCTCGGCAGTCCATGCTAATACGAGCTTACTATTTTCCCCGCTAACAAACACCATGCAGATTTCGGTCAGGAATGGCACGATGATAGTCTCGAAGCATAGCAATATTGAGATGAAACGTATTCAGTCTGCTTCTCTCCGACTGCTCGTCTTCACGCCCCTCTCTACCGGGGAAGCCACTATTTCGGAGACTTTGTCCCCATTTCCATCTTCTGCTCGAGTCTCTCCACCCGGCTTACACTATCGTCAAGCCACCTCCACGCGACGGTGTGGGTAGCATGACAATACACCAGGTTGGATTTTACACATGGGAAAGGAACGGACCATGACGGGCGAAGGGGGAAGGACTCCCGAGGAGGAAAGTAGAAAAAATCTCCGTAGCACATGTCTACCCATCACTTCCACCCCTCTTTTCGTTCTTTCTTTTCTCCTTGTAACGGAGAAGGATAACACCATCCTGTGGAACAAGGAGATTTCGCTAATCGAGTCCCAGTAGATTCTCCGTTATGCCGTGGCACACGAGCGGGAGGGGGGGATCAGACGGTATAGAATAGAGGGGGGCGTATGTATGCCATTGCAAGTCGTTGTTGTGTACGGAGTACTTGCAGTTGTTAAGTTGAAGGCGTAACGAACGGGCGCGGCCACGAATAATGGCCAGTCGACGAACCGGCGAGTTTTCTCTCTTGCTATACGTTTGCTGTTTGTTCGTGGCAGCTGGAACTTGTCTCCGTCGGGTCTTACACGGATCGGGCACCGGTGGTGATGGCGCTTCGCCATTGCTTGCCACTAGGCTGTTGTTGGGGGCGTGGTGCGAGTCCCACGGAGGCCTCATTCGCAGTGTAGAACAAACACATCGACATGGTGAATCAAAGGTGAAGAAAGTAAAAGGTACCAACAATTATGTTTCGTCTACCGCTGTCGTTGAGTAGAGGCCGCCGGCCGTAGCTACCTCTGGTTGTTACTCAGGAGCCCCCACCGATTGATACGCTTTCTACCCCTTTTTCACATTACCTCATTTCTACTCGCTCACATAATTCTTCAGTAAAAGGTCTCGACGGCACTTCTTGTTTACGGGTGAGCGGCAGCGGCAACGGAAGCGGGCAGGGGAGGGCGTGGGATTGGGATGATGCCTATCTCTACGAAGAACCCAGGGGACGGGAGAATCGAATCGTACGCTCACTGTATATCTATCTCTCCCCCTATCATTGGCTTCGCCAATAGTCACCGACCGAATGTATTTCAAAATTCCCAAATATCTGCGGGTAGCCGCGTCTTGTTCCGCGGTCGGTAAAGGGAATGGGAGGTAAACTCCCTCCTCCGCGCCGCGATCTGAGAACGAACCCAAAAGCAGACGGGGGGAGCGAGCGGCATGGCATTTTTCATCTCGCCCGCTTGCGAAAGCAATACTTTTTCCTCCGAGTGGAAGCGACAAGTAGGAGAGAAAAGAAGGAAAATCTCATGTTCCTCCAAGATAACAGACACCTTCATACACACGATCCAGCCAATGTAAACCGTCAAATTCATAAAGGTTCTGGTCTGAAGACACAGAAAAAACCCCCACTAGAGTTAATAGATTATCTCGATTTCACAAAGCTACAACACCTCTACATAATTATGCGTGATTAATAAATTCCCGTCTTCACGGCTTTATCGTAGACAATATGCCGGAAAGAAACATTTCCCTACATCTTGCGACGTGTTGTTACCTTCTCACATATCGCCAGAAATCATCAAGGACGTGAAGTCGAGCCGTAGTCTCTTTCCCCCTTCCCATCTCCCCAGAAAAATACATTACACAACACAGCTAAAGTAAGTGAGCACTATATCTGGAACCTGGACCCAAAGTGGCGTCGTCGATGCTGCAGACCTCTGAAAAGAGAAGGAAAGTTCATATTTGC